GGAACAATGTTTTCATGGGGCACATTAGGACCCATAATCCTCATAGAACAATCCCTGACGTCTGTAAGCTACTTGAACATAGTTGCAGACCAGGTTCACCCATTCATGGCAACAGTTTTTCCTGCACGGGATAGTGCTTACCAACATGATAATGCACCATGGCATAAGGGTCAAATCGTCATGGATTGGTTCGAGGAACATTCCAGTGACTTTCAAGTCATGCCTTGGCCCCCACATTCACCTGACCTTAATCCAATAGAGCATTTGTGATCCTTCTTGGAAAACCAAACTCGTGGTGCCACGCTACCCCCTTGCAATGTGAGGGAATTGCAGGACCAGTTGGTGAGCGCTTGGTACCAGATACCTCAAGCTACCTATCAGCACCTTGTGGAATCAATGCCACGGCGGGTGCTAGCAGTTTTGAGGGCTAAAGGTGGACATAATTTAATGGCTCTTCGGTGTATATATCCGTGTATCGGATAGAAAATCTAAAAATACACGTTTGTAATTTACAGTGGCGATCACGTACTTAAGGACTGTGTTTTCAAAATAAATGCGTCATTATATTGGATGAATATTATGTTTTGATCAAGATATCTATAATGACGAATTCTACCTTAGTTGAACTTCAATCCTCAAATAATTCATTCGTGTTCAAAAGTGTTTCAAAAAATTTTATTTTAAACATATAGTATTTTGTCAAGTTTCCTATACTTAAGGACAGTTATTGAATGATTACATGAGTTATTGAATGATTGCAATCAATTTATCGATCAATGTAAGTGTAATTTACTGCATTATCTTTGTTTGATGCTTTAAAACATTACATTAATATTTTTTAGTACAAATTTCAACATTATTATGCTGGAAAAAATGTTAGCAATGAACAGAGATGTCGAATAGATACTTTGAGAAAAGAACGTTTAAGCATTAGAGAAATTGGTAGGCGGTTAAAATTATCAAAAACAGCAGTTTTCCAAGTATTGAAATCTATTCAAGTGACCAAAAGTATTGAAAAAGCATCCCGAAAACCACGTCTTCGCAAACCAGAAGATCGAATTATTCATTGAACCGAACGAGAAGATCGAATTATTCATCGAATTTCTGAAGCTGTTAGTCACAAAACCACCCCGGATATCAGAAAAGAATACCACGTAAGCAATAATACCATCAAACGGCGTTTAAATGAGCTTCGGCTTATGGGTCGCGTATGTAGGAAAAAACCGCTGATGTCAAAGAAGAATATAGCAGATTGATTAGCTTTTGCAAAAAGACACCGAAACTGGACGTCGGCTGACTGGAATCGAGTTATATTTACAGACGAATCGAAGTTCAACAAAATAGGTTCAGATGGCAAAAGTTATGTGAGGCGTCGAGACGGGGAAGAATTTAATGTGCGGCGTACAAAATCAACTGTAAAAGGTGAAGGCGACTCGGTGATGGTGTGGGGTGCCATGACACGTTCAGGATGTGGTCCAATTCGCAAAATGAAAGCATGATGGATCAGCATGTGTATGTGGACATTATCAAGACTGTTCTTCTGCCTTCTTACAGGAAACTTCGCTCAAGAAAACCAATCATGCAAGCCGATAATGATCCAAAGCACACGAGCAAAACTGCGAAGGCCTTCTTGTCAAGCAGGAAAATTGAGGTTTTTTCAGTGGCCTTCCCAATCACCAGATCTCAACCTGATCGAAATGCTGTGGATAGATGTGGATAAATATGTGAAACAGCAAAAACCAAAAAATTTAGATGATTTATGGAAATGTGTCCATGGCTTGGCAGCTATACCTCCTGAGCGATGTCAAAGATTAGTAGATTCGATGCCTCGTAGATGTGAAGCTTTAATTGCCGCAAAAGGCTTACCGACTAAATACTAGCTCCAAAACTTTATTATTTGTTACATTTTTTACATAGCTATTAATTTTATTAACGATTAAGAAATATTTATTTTGTTGTCCTTAAGTATGCGGAATGCATATTTTTTCTAAAATGTTACATAATTTAAGTATAACAGTTAGATAAATGATTTTCATTGTGAAAATATATTAAAAATAATTTATTTGTTCCAATACATAATTATCAATTCAATAAACTTATGCGTGAACATTACATTTTGGATTTTACTTTTCATAAAGACATGTCTTTAAGTACGTGAGCGCCACTGTAGATGCATCAATGATATCACATTCGACATCATCCAAATCTTAAAAAGGAATATGCAATATGTATAACAAATTTAGAGTCTCCAGAAAGCATTAATTTGACATGCAAGTTCTTTTTTTTTTCTTTTTTAACATTTCGGAGATAGCGATGCAATTACGAAATGAAAAAGAAGTTTGGTTTTTAAAATTAAGATACTTTTTTCAAAGTATCAAATTCGCAAATTATTATTTCCTTGATTTAGCATGCTCAGTCAATATGATTTAACGGTTTTTGAGTTATCTCCATTTTAAACCACCATCTGTGAACCAAAACACAAATTCTGTTAATCAATTTAGGTTTCCTTTTTTTCCATCAGAAAACGAATTTCCAATAAAAAATGGAAGTTCTAATTTAGGAATTTAAAGTTGCCCCCTTTGGTTCAAAATTTTTGATCCTATGGTACTTTTTGAAGTATTTGACTGTTTATATATTTTACGGATGACTTGTATATTGTCCAAAGTCAAAGTGCAATAATATGGAGATTTACAAAAATGTGCCAGTTGAAATTGTGCCAAATCTCTAAATTTTTAAGTGAACTTTTGTTTCAATTTTCTTCATAAATTAAAGTACTTCTTGCAAGTAAATGAGAAACCTCAAAATAATAAAGAGAAATTCAAAGCAAATTATAAATATTAATGACGAAAGGCTTTTTGTATCAACGTTACACAGTTCAAACTTTGACTACTGTGAAGTATTTATACTGATTCTTCTATATAATTAAGTATTTAAAACTTAATCATTAACTATATGACTATAAAGTTTTTACTGAAATAAGTAACTAATCTTTGGGTAAGATATAAATCCTTATTGAACAATAATTTAATTCTCGAAATACTTGATGCGGTCGCAAACTTTTTTTAAATGACTTGTTTCTTAGATTTTTTTTTACTACATATGAGCGTATTTTTATAGAGAAAGGAGTATTTATTGTACATGCTAAAAAAACTATTAAAATGATAACATAGTTATTATTTTGACTAAAATGTTATTAATATGTTTTATGATATTTTCATATTTTTAATTTTACGAAATTTTTAGTGCTACTCTCGTGATATTAACAGAATTTACTTTTAGATATGAATGATACAACCTGCAGCGCACCCGATGAATTTATGTGTCAAAATACGCATTGTATATGGGCTGGAGTTCAATGTGATGGAATCAATAATTGTGGTGATGGAAGTGATGAAAATTCAACGGAGCATCCCCATTGCAGTATGTACAAACAGCTTAAACAGCTCTTCTTTTCTAGAATAGGTAAATAATGAATGTATCGGTTGTGGTTACATTAGTCTAATTTTTCGAGTTATCGTAAGCTTATTGAAAAAATCTGGCTCTTGGCAAATTTAACCTCAATTTTGCAATGATCAGTCTAACAGGATAATTCTAGTATTTTTTAATCTATATGATAATTTTTAAATTTATTACAAGCAGCCTATATGTTTTAGGCTAATTATAAAATGTTAGAAGAATTACCCATTCAAGTTGAATTTGATAAGGCTTATTGCAATAAACTTTTAATAAGGCTATTTGCAGTAAATTTTGACTACTATGGGCTTATTGCAAACCGCTAGAAATAATAAACCAGGCTAACTGAGCAATGAATGATTTTATAATTAATGATATTTAATGATTGAATGATAATGAATGATTCATTGATTAAATCAGTAATTAAATCATTAATGATATATTATGATTTTTTTGATATTTAATGATTCTATAATTAATTAATGATACTTAGTATAAGATTTGTAGGTCCTTTGCAATAAGTCTAAAAAGTGTCAAACTGATAAGAAAATTACTAAGGACTTTTCCAATTAACTTGGCCTATTGCAAAATGAAAGCGGCTGTTAGCAAGAAACCAAATCATTCAGTTAGTCTCAGATATATGTAAATAATAATGACGATTGTAAACTGTAACTACTTATAATAAATTTTATAATCAAAAACACATATCATTATTTAAATTAATTAAGTTCAATCTGGATACTTTGAATTAGACTAACAGCTTAAACAGATTTCCTTTTCTAGAATAAATGATAATAAATACTTTTGTTATAATTATATTGTTATAATTATATTGTTCTGATTTTCTTGTATTTGAACATGTATATATTGCGCAATTGATATAAATGATATTGACTATTGCAAAATATGTGTATATTATATATATGTATATGTATATTATATATATTGTGAGTGTATTGCCAAAAGTCATCTACTCAAATGTGAAATTCTGCAAATACTACTAAATTTAGAGGCTCTGTACCTCAGAACATACTTTTTCGCTCTGTACCTTAGAACATACTTCAAGCTTCAGATCACAGTCATATTTTTTATCTGATTCAATGTCAATCAACATTTTATTTTTTGAACGATAAATTGAGAAAATATATGTTGCAGATATATTAAACAAAGAATAAAAGTCCACACACAAAAGTTGTACCAAGGCAGAATGTCCTAATATACAAAAACAGTCAATGTAGAATCGCGAAGAATAGAACAAAGATGAGCATTATTGCTATAAGAATATTAATACCTTCAGAAGTCATGTTTCTGATCTAATAATGGATAGATGATTATTATTATTATTTACAGAAGGAGGACAAAAATTAAAACTTTCTAGAGCCTGCTTAATACCAATTAAAAACTTTATTAGAAAACAATTTAAACAAATGAATTTTATTATACAACACGGAAGCTAACTAATTTTGCAAAAAAAACTCATCAAACCAAAATATATTCCTTTAAGTTACATGTCATAGAATAAGTTCAAAGCATCCAAATGCATGATATGTAAATTAAAATTAATACCAAAAATATTTTAATAATGCATTAAACTAAAACACAAGGATTTAANGAGAAAGTACGTTTTTGTGTCTGATTTCGTAACTTAATTAATAGTTAGCACTATTTAATTAACATATTTGAGGTCACCTCCAGGAACCATTAAGATTGACACTTAGTTCGCGAAAATCCAATCATTAGAACGAAAGTTATTCAGGGTGATTCGTTTTTTTTTTTTTGCAGACTGTACATCAATTTAGAATTTTTTAAGAATTAAAGGTTCTCTTTTAGTATTTATCCCATTTCTTTTAAGATTAGGAGGTTTAGCTTGTAATTTGTGAAAAATTTTAATTTCAATAATTTAAGACAAAGTTTCAAATTGGACAATGTTCAATTATTTTGGTATGGAAAAAGGAATATTATGCAATTTTCATATCATAAAGTTATTTGCAAAAACATTAAAGTTATGTTTTCGCAACTAACTTTAATAGAGAAATAACATTTTTTCAACAATATTTTTCACGACTTATAACTTTTGAAGTAATATAATTTAATCAGTAAAATAAATCGATCAAATTGAAAATTTTGATCTACCAAACAAGCAAAATAATTTTATCTTGGGTTTTCAAATCCAGTGTAATGTGTGTTTGAATTGATACTGCATGATTTTACAGAAAAGTGCCTTAGAGTCAAGTGCCCTTGTGAACTTTGCTTTTACACTAAGTTAATTTGTTTTGAACCTTTTCCAGCCACTTAAAATTGAAAGATATGCTTCATTTTGTTCTCATAAATATGTAATTTCAGTAAAAAAAAAATGTATCAAGAATACAGAAGAATTATTTTGATATACCTCCCCATTTTCATGCACTATGAAAGCTCAAACTTAATCTTTTTTTTTCTTCTTTAGCTGAAGTAACGCCCATCGCCATTGCTGCTGTTGTTTTAGGAATAACAAGTTTGATAGCAGTACTTATTCTTTTATGCCTGTGCTGCTGTCGACCACAACATTCAGTATCTCGAAAAGCATCTCTAGTAGAAAATTCACCCCACAGATCTAATGGTGGATACATGCCACTACCAGGATATACATTTGATGTTATGGATCATGGTTTTCCTTATCAACAGCCTATTCATTCCCAAAGAGTTCAACCTTCAGCCCCACTTTCATTTTCCTCAAGTTATCCATCGAGCAAAAGTAACCCATACATACAAAGGAGTATTGAAATTCAATACCATCATCCACCTCCGCCATACAAACCATGATAAACATTATGTGGGGAAATACTAAGTTTTTAAATGTAATTATGTCCGATATCTATCTATATTTAATTTCTGAACAGTGTATTTGACTTGCATTTTAGCTTGTACGTTTAACAGAAAAAAATACAGATTGCTTTTTCTTCTGTAAATTTGACAGTCAGAAAGCAATCGTTTGTCCAAAATGCATTTTTCAGAAGTTCAAAGACATTCTCTCTAACCTAAGTACCCAACGCATGCAGGACTGTTGGCATTGATTACGAGCACCCAGCTTCTCCATACAGAGCACGTTCAACATTTTGTGAAGAGAGGCTAAATTTTTATAGACAAGATATGTCTGAATTTCAGCTATGTTTGATATTTGAACAGAGCATTTAACGTACAAGCTTTTGGATTATATTTTTATTTGCAAATATTAGAGTATTGCTCTTACTTCTGTAAATATAAAAAATGAATGCCAGAAAATTATTCCAAAGCTCAATTTTGAATAATTCAAGACAACCCATTTAACCAAAAAGTCCAACACACAAAAGACTGTTGACAATATATACAATCATCCATTGAGCATGACAAACATTTTGTGTGGACATACAAAGTTTTTAAATGAAAGATATGTTTGATATTTTGGTCGTATTTGATTTTTAACTTTTGAACAACGCGTTTGACTTGCAAGCATTTTGTTTTATACTTATAATATCAAACATTAGATAGAATTTTGTTTTTTTTTCCAGTAAATGTGAAAATTGTTTAACAGAGAGGTACCACTATACCAGTTTGCAATTTTCAATTTTTTAAAGACAATTTGTAGTTTAAAAGTATTGTTTTTTTCTACTAGTTTTGTGAGTACTGTTCAAATATTATACACGTGAAAGCATTTTTATATCTAGTCTGATAATAAACAGCAAAGTTTTACTTATATGGTTTTTATCTCATTATTTCAGGTTTGTTAAACTAAATTTACACTTCAATTGTTTTTGTTATCATTCCCACGGGAAGTTTCTACGAAGTTTTTTTCTTTTTAATATCGCCAGATGGCGTTCCTTTTAAAATTGTATGTATCTCTCAGCTTAATGTCAATAAACTTTACTTTCTATCTGAATCTCGATCTACATGGACCACAGTTGATAGCATTGCCACTGTTTCGAAAATTATGATACAGTAAAAGTAAAAAGTTTAACTTCGAGTTTCGTCGTGATTTACATAGTTTAGATTCAAAGTTGAATAGGGATCTGCCGAGTATTCCACTGTTTAACAGCTATCAACAGTGGTGTATAACTATCAACAGTGGTGTATAAAAATTAAGGCTTTGTTAACTATTAAGATAATAGCAAATATGCTTATCGAAGATACAAAATTGCAAGAACAATGGACACTGAAATGTGATATTGCTGTGGTGCATATTCAACTTTCGCTTTCTGATGTTCATAGTTTTCAGTTCGCAAACTAAACAAGTGCTAAAATTCTATGGGAAAAAATTTAAAATACATTTATTGGTAAAACAGAAAGCTTCAAAATCGATGCAAGTAATGAAGTAAAAAACCTTGAAATGAAAGAAAATGAAAATGTTCAGAAATGTTCTTTTTTGTACTGCTAGAGGTTTACGAGGGAAATTTTCAAAAATACGAGAAATTCTGAAACCACAACATAATAAACAAATGGATGAAGTTTTAGAAATCCTAGAGATTAAGAAAACAGCGAAATAAAATGAAGAAAAAAAATTTCCTATAAAAGGAGAAACATTCGGAGTAAAAGAAAAATAAGAAATAGAAGCACGAAGAAATGTTTCATCGGCCATAATCACCAAGCTAAAGACTGCTAATTTAGAAACAAAAATGATGGAAATCAAAACCCAACATCTCAAACAAAAAAAAACAAAAAACGCTTTCGAACTATAAATCGATGATAAACGAAACGAAAAGCAACAACTCTCATTGTTTATTTGAAAATCAAGATAAACATTCTAGTGAAAATTTCGTGCTTACCGCTGAACGAGAACAACATCTCGTAAATTCTAGACTTAAGCGTAATTTGTATCAGTAGTAGCATCACGTAAATTGTAGAGTTACAGGTAAAAGCAAAACAGTTTCCATTCTGGATTCCGGTGCCGCTTCACACATGGTAAAAGATTTAAAATTTTTTGAAAGCTTAAGTAATCATGTTAAAGGAAAAATACAATTAGTAGGTAAGAATGAAAACTTAATTTCTAAAGGTATTAGAATTGTAAAAGCTATAACAGTTGATATATATATATATATATATAATANATTAATTGTTTTCATTTGATGCGACGTATATATATATATATATATATATATATATATATATACCAGATTACTTACGAAACGTTTTAATTTCAGCATCCAAATTAATTGATAGAACTTATTAAGTTAAATCTAATGGTAGTGGTATTTTGATTTTAAGTAATGGCAATCACATTGTTTTAAATTGTTTTGAAATTTTAATGGAACCGTGTAATAACATTTCCCTTAAATTTTTTGATTATAATGATGTAAATAATTCTAAGTTAGAATGTTTGAAGCAAGTAATTTGAAGAGTTTGATTTTTGTCATAAAAGACTTAGTCATTGAAATCCACAATGCATGGTTAAAGCGCAAAATTAGAAAATTATCATTGCGAATCTTGTGACATAAGTAAAGTAACCCATATGAGTCATCCAACAATTAATGTGCCACAAAGTAATTCAATATTAGAGTTAATTCATGCAGACCCAGCCGGCCCAATAAATTGTTAACTATTAGACAATTCAAGATATTGTTTAGTTATAGTGGATGATTTTTCTGAGATGTACTTTTCTTATTTCATGAAGTATAAAAATGAAGTAATTGAAAGGTCTTGTAAATTTAAAGAAATATATGAAAATGCGATGAATAAGAAAATCAAAAAATTCAGAACAGGTAACTGGTTATAATTTGTTAATAACGAGATTGATAGTTTTCCAGAAAAATACAGGATCATTCATGAAAAAAGATTATCGTAACATTTTCGTCGAGTAGAGTTGTTCAGCGAGCCATAAGAGTATAAGTATAAATGACTAGGATATTATTATATGAAAGTGAATTATTATTAAAATTTTGGGTTGAGGCGATAAATTTCTAATCACTCTCATTTCTAATCTTACACCCCGCAAAAATAAGCAAAATTTAAACAATCGATAGAAATATGGTCAAGAAAAGTACCTAAACTTGACATAATACCTCTTAGTTTTGAAGATAAATATAGTAAAAATAAAGCATGCAAATTAAATAAAAATATTTATCGTCTACCTCGATCTGGTAGAAATAAAGTTAAAAAATGAACTAAAGAAGATTGTTCTTACTCAATTTGCGTCTGACAGTTGCGTATTTACTAAAATTAATGATAATGATTTTTTCGCGATTTGTGTATATGTATATGATTCGACAATATTTTCTAATAATTCGAAATTATACAAGGATATAATTTCCATTTCAAAACTTAATCAAACATTTGAAAGAAATGAAACAACAAATAGTTAAGAAACTTTAGGCTTTCAGATTTCACACAAAAAAAACGGAATTTGTTTATCTCTAACTAATCACTAGTACATTGAATCATTAATGAAAATATATGGTTTGGAAAAATGTAAGAAAACAAATGTCCCCGTAACTAAAGGTGAAGATTGATGTTTTAATCCTACTGATGATTTAATAAAGCGGACTGATTATCAAGAAATCATCGGTGAACTTTCATATTTAGCAAAATAGAACCCGAACAGATATTGCTTTTGCAACTAGTTATTTATCACAATTTAATAAACGTTCCGAATAAAGGCATTATGTTTTGGTTGAAAGAGTTTTGAAATATTTGAATGGTTCAAAAGATAGGGTCATATTTTATAGCAAAGAATTTGGTTTTTTAAACTGTAGTGTGGATGCAAGTTGGGACAACGCAGAAGGAGGAAAATTTTTCAGGTTGTGTAATTATGGTAGATAATTCTCTTAATATGGAAAAGTGGAAAACAAAGATGCATAAGACTATAAACATATAAAGCTGAATTATTTGCTGCAGCTGACACAGCTCGAGAATTTAGATTTGGATAATAAATATGTTAAATGAAATTAACAGTAAAAAATTTATTAATGCTCTTGTTATTATATTTTCTGCTTAGTCAAGCTGCTATTGGTTATTTGAACAATGGTAAGTTTTCTAGCAAAACCAGGCATGTAAATCTTAAATTTCATTTTGTGAGAGATATGATTGAAGATAAAATATTAAAAACTGTTTATAACAATACTATTTAAGACATTTTTGATTTTTTAACTAAAGCTGTAACGTTTGAGAAGTTACTTTCCTCTTTGGAAAAAAATAAGTTTCATTTGAAATTATATTGAGAGAATTAATATTTTTATATGTAGCGTTATTTGTATCAAAAAGTAAAATCTTTCTCGCAGGGGGAGATTGCTGTCATTCCCAGGGAAAGATTGCTACAAAGTCTTTTTCTTTTTAATGCAACCAGGTGGCGTTCTTTTTAAATTTGTATGTATTTATCTGCTTAATGTCAATAAAATATACTTTCTGTTTGAATCTCGATCTCCGCGGATCAAAGTTTTAAATTACGATATGCTTTTAACTCATTATTGACCAGTTAAGAAATGTTACATTTTAAGAATTTTACACCGATATATTTATTAAATAATCGTTCGATAAAGATAATTATCTTATCAAAGTATAGTTAATCATAGTGTTAGGAAATATTAAAAGAGTGATTCAAAAAGTTGTTAGTAAAATGTTAGGTGAAAGCAGACATACAAAAAGAATTAAAAATTACATAGGAACATGGGTCGTAAAGCAGAGATGTTAGAGGGAGGGACTCTTTATATGTAATGCGCAGCAACTATAAGCAAAAGTCATTCTATACAATTTTTTTACACTATATTTTCACTTATGATACACTTTTACAGTCAATAATAATACGGAGATGATCAAAGTTAAGAAGACAGGTTGATTTTGCATGGAATGGTACATCTTCTCAAGCTTACCTGATGCATCTCGGGGCACATTCTGCTGCAATGGCAGTCTAGCAATAACATACACTGCAATAGTGTTGGTCATTAACGTGTAAAATATGGGAAAATAATGCAGTAAAAATAAAACAGTTATTGTATATCAAACATAATTTGCAACCAAGGGCTCTGAATAGCATTCGCAACCCCATGTGCCAACGCAATTTTATTATTTTCGTGTGTCTGCTATTTTTTACCCTTTCACTTATCCATGATTTTCTTAATGTTCCTGTATACATATTTTATACTTGAAAGATTTTGGGGCACAAAAAGGAAATATGAGGCATCTTCTGAGCTGTCAGCAAAGTGTTAAAAATCTCACTACAAGCTTCTCAGATATGAGGCCCCTATTCTGAACTCGTTAAGTGCCATATACATTGATGCTGCACCGAGGTATGCTTTTCGATTTTACCACCTTTTGCGTGAAGATAGAAAAATTTAATAATCAGAATTAACTCGTTAAAAAAGTAAGTTAGTAAATAAAGTGTGATTCATTTCAACAAACTATAGGGGTTTCATGCACTGGAAGATAACGTAAAAAAACTGACTCTACAGAATTATGGAAGATACTATCAGTCATGATAGGAAATCAGGTATGTTCCGAGGCAAAAGAAGGTGCATGAATTTTTGTCCCAATTTAGGAAAAAAAGCCCTAGTTTGTTTGGTTAAAAAAGGAAACAAGCCTTTTAAGTAAATTTTCGAATCCGTCATAGAGATGGCAGTTCATTTAGATTTAAAAAATTGGAAACTTTTCTTTTATTCTTTGCTACAATTTTAGTTTTTCCTTTCTTAAATCCCTTTTGAGTCCTAAATAGGTTTTTCTTTTGTTAAATATGAAATATATTTATTAAATATAAAAAATATTGGTTTTTCTTTTATTAAATTATAAAAATATTGTATTGAAAAATTTTGGCTTAAATATATCTAGAAGTAATTTTCACCACATTAATAATCAGTGTCATCATTCAGGGTAGCTTTTTTTTTCTTTTTAAAAAGAAAATTAAAATTAGTTACCCAATTATCTCATTATAGAGATATTTTTGTCATCAAACCATGCACAGAAAATCGAAATTCTTTTAAACTTTTTATTTGGATACAGAAAATAAAGAAATACATGAAGTTTAATGCTACATTTTGAAGAGATGATATTTTAGTATGCATAAAGTGTTATAAAAAAAGAAGTCATTAAAACTCTCAATAAATATAAATATTGCCCCGAATTGAACTTGTAGCTTCATGCGATTCCCTCTTCAGAATCGATTTGATTCGGTTCTTGGATGAGTGCGTGTCACTAAAAAATACAAATTGAATATATACTCTCAAAATGTTTTAAGATATTTAGAAAACTATTTTAAGGTAACTTATATGAAATCATCAAACTTATATGTCACATTTAGGTACCTTATAATCGTGTACCACATTAAAAAAAAATTGTTCATATAGAAAGTGGTCTGTATACCAGGGCTCGAAAAATCTCAACATTTTCACAAGAAATCCTCTCGATTAACCCCTTCCTTCTCGCTCCCGTGAAAATGACGGGGTGAGATTTCGCCCTATATTTCTCGCTCCCGTGATATTGACGGGCTGGAGTGTTCAGTAGTAACTCACCAATAAGAATAAAACTAATTCATTTCCTTTGAACTGAAAACATTTTATTTCTCATTTTAGACACCAGATGGCAGTACCAGGATATTTTTAAGGTAATTGTAGATAGACGTCAGCACTAATCAAATACGTAATACAAATACAAAAGCCAAAAAAATAGGCAGTTTTATGACAGTTTTCTTGAAAATTAACCGATCGTTAAGGGGTTAATTGTCTGCTGCTATGGAAACAAGAGAAAGACCATTAGAAAAGAGGGGAAATTAACCCTACCAACCTAAATCAATGCAAAATATTGCATCCGTATTTAAAACTGCTCTTCGTAATCACGGGTGTCTTGTGTCTGGAAGAGTTCTCGAGAAAGCCAAACAGTACATGCCTGAACATTTTCTTCCATTACATATTAATGAAAATGTATGAATGTACCAATTATTACTCTAGATATTATTTTATAACCGTAGTTGAACAGCCGATCCAATTTTTCTTTGAGGTTTAGGAGTACTAATGTTCAACTCCTTAGCCTCGTAATTTAGAACCCAATCCAGAAGACAAGGAAACTCCTGGATCAAGTATTGGGAGAAATTTGCCTTCGTGGAGGACTTTTTGATGGAACGAACCCGCATTTGCGTTACATGGAGAGGAACACCACGAAAACCTCCCAAGGTTAGCCTGACGGCAAGGGAACTCTAACCCATGATCCTTCTACCACTGAGGATATTTTACGTCAGCACTGTGATCGATGCAAGTCAGTACGGAAATCGTATCGATCAGTCATCGCTGGGACTCGAACTCGGTTCACCTCATTCAAAAGCGAATGCTCTATCTCCTGAGCACTCACGGCTCTTATTAATCTTTAAAAAGAAGAAACGTCTACATTCTATCAACATGAATACTTTTATTTTAAGTATAATTAATTAAGATATAATAGGCATTATTAATAAAAAAAAATATTATTAACTAAGATGTATTAGGTATTATTAATAACAATATTTAACATTTACATAGTAAATGCAGAGTTTTATTATTAGCTAAGCATCGAAGTATCAAAATTTTTAGGCACTATCAGCAAGAGCATGTCCTTGAATACGATACTTATATATTGAATGCGATACCCTATGAAAAACAACTATATCAAAGTTGTATATCATATTGGTTTGTACCAAGTGGCTATTTCCTTCTGTTATTTATACTTTAGTTTTAAAGAAAGCGCTGCGGGGTGACTTCATATCTAGATATAGATATTTATATAGTCAATCAATCTGGCACCAAGAAGCAATCATCCGATTGCTTCTTGGTGCCAGATTACAGTGGTACAAGGCTCGATCAGGCTGGAATGATGCCGACTGGGGATGTATAGTCTTTAGCGACGAATCCCGCTTCCAACTGTGTCCTGACGATCATCGAAGACGTGTTTGGAGACGCACAGGGCAGAGGGGGGGGGTCCTGCCTTCATTATTGCACGCCACACCGGTCCTCAACAAGGCATTACGGTGCCATTTCCTTTGACAGCCGGACCCCTTTTGTCGTCCTTAGAGGTACACTTACTGCACAGCGGTACGTCGACGACATCCTAAGATCTGTTTTGCTACCATTCCTTTTGCAGCGCCATTGGCAAGTTTTTCAGCAGGACAATGCCAGTCCACATACGGCACGTGTTGCTATGAACTGTCTGTAAGCTTGTCAAACTCTTCCTTGGCCTGCCAGATCAACAGATCTATCTCCCATCGAGCATGTCTGGGATATGATGGGAAGGCGATTGCACCTTTGGCAGCAAATACCGCAAGAGACCATCCGGGAGCTTTATCGGTCTATGCCACGCCGTGTGGCAGCTTGTATCCAGGCGAGAGGCGGGTCAACACCTTATTGAACTTGTTACTGTAACTCTGCAATAAATTATTCAATTGTTCTGAAATTTTAATCATTTACTATTCTGTACATTGTCTTCCTATC